AGAGAGCAACCCTGGATGCAGAGAACAGAGAGGTCAGGCTTCTGAGATGGCCCAAGTAGAGACGATGGTGGCCTGGCTTAGGGAATGGGGAGAAGTGGGCATATTCGAGATACTGAAGAGATGGCATTGATAGGATTTGGACGATGGGCTTGCTGATGTGATAGGGATTTCTTAGGCCACTTCCCGGTGTGGTGGTAGGTCATAAGTTAGCTTTTAGAGCTGCTGTCTTGGGTTCACAAACAGGGAGACCCATGGGATGCCACCTGCCCTGCTTTCTCATCTTCTGGTGGAGGCCCTCCTTTCCTCCCCTGTCCCCTGCAGTAGAGCACGTGCAGTCAGCCCGAGTGTGCCACTGTCTCCTCTTCACCATGTGCAGGGATTTGAGGGTATGTAGCCCTATACAGCTGGAGCAACTCACAAGGACAGACTGTGCTCTGCAGTGATTTAACCCCTGCCCAAAGCATAAAGCACCACCGAGCGCTGAGGTGTCATCCCCGTTTGGAATCAACAGGTCCCTCCTGGCTTTAACGTTCTTAACATTAACAGGTTTATGCTAAGACCCGTGACTTTGGTGTTTGAATTTGGGTTTGCATCTTGGCCCTTCCAGCTGTGTGACTGTGGGTGAGTCCACCAACTTGTGCCTCAGCTGAGGCACTTGTAGGATAATAATAATAATGATAGCTATACCACAAGGTTGCTGTGAGGTCGAATGAGTCAAGTGCATGACCTGTGCCCGGCCCACGGTACAACGAGCTCTGAGCCCTTTCTCCCTTCAGTGCAGTCCAAGAGTCAGATGTTTCTATCCTCTCTGGTTTGATCTTTGTTAGGAGCAAGTGTTTTCTTGGTTGGACCCCAGGTCTCCCTTCCCTTGACTTTGGTTACCAATGATGCCCAAACAGCCACTAGGATTGTTCTGTTTTTTCATTCTTGTCCAACCCACGATTCTCCTGGGTTGTCTCTCTAGCTCCTGGCAGTTCATATTCCCAAATGCTGATTGCTTCCCCCCACCTTTTTTTTGGGCCGCTGGCCAGTATGTGGACCCAAACCCGTGGCCTTGGTATTATAACACCACTCTCTAACCAGCTGAACTAACTGGCCCCAATTGCATACCTTTTTCCTTCTCAAACCCTGTTTTCTAGGAATCCTTTTTGGTTTCTCAGAACCCTGCCCTTCTCCTCCAGCCACCATCCTGGTGTCTTTCCCTCCTCTGGGCCATTTTCTGGGCAGCACAGCCCCTTTTCAGTACAGACTAGCTTGTTAGTGACCTGGTGAGGTTTATTTTCCTCTGACTAAGTTCAAAGTACTTATGACATTTTAGACCTGTTGAGCAATCCCTATCTGGCTGGGGAAGGGACAGGGGAGAGTTAATAGAGGTGAATTAAGAATGATAATTCCAAAAAAATTAGTCACTCAGATAAAAAATATTTACTCAGAAGTTTTAAAAAAGATATTTATGAGAGAATTGGGAAATATGAACCCTAACTGAATATTTGATATTAAAGGATGATTGTTAATTTTAAGTGTAGTTAAAAAGTTTTATCTTTTAAAAATACAGACTGAAGTATCTATGGATAAAATTATATGATGTCTGAGATTTGCTTAAAAATCTAGTGACTAGGGTCGGGACACAGATGAAGGAAAATTGGCTATATATTGATAATATTTGAAACTAGGTGATGGAGACATGGGCCATCATTATAAAAATTTCTATAATAAAAACTTTAGAAGGTTTGATAACACATGTTTTCGAGGTACCTCGGGGACTGTTTCTGCATCCCCTTGCATGATTGGGAGGTGGGAGGTGGAAGTGAGATTGGGGGCAATTGATTTTCTCCTCTCTCCACACCCACTGCCATTGCTCTTGTTGGGTCCTGGTCTGTGGGTGCCAGGATGCCCCGAGACACAGCACAGCTGCACAAGAAGTGAGGCGCCTGGAGGTCCAAGTTGGGGGCAGGGGTCTCTGCCTTACTGTCCCTCCATCCAGCACCAGAACTGTCCTTTAGGCAGAAACCTCATCAGTCTATGTCAAGGCGGAGAGTCATCAGGTTCAAAGTTCCTCCTGATTACATGACTACTTGTCAAGGAACAGCAGTGCTTTGAGGGGTGGGGAAGAGCAATTGGCAGGGAGGGGCAGGTGTAGAGAACAGAGGGAGAGGTGAACGCCTTTCCTACTAGGCGCCACCTGGTAATGAATCTGAGAGGGCGTGGAGGATGGAAGGAGGTGAGGCGCACGGGGCCTGGATCCCTTCCCTTGCTCCCTTGAATGAGATGGGGTTCTTCTTCTTCCACATTCACGGTACAGACTGGGGAGAGCCCTCCCCCACCCTTGCCCATCCCACCAGAGAGTGAACATTCGCAGGCAAGGCAGGTCAGACAGTGGGTGCTGGTATCTGAACTGCATTTACCTTTCTTTTTCCATCTGTTTCTCATTCTGTACCATCCCGTAGAGGGGGAACGTAACCCGGTCTTTGTGCTCTGCAACGGGGATGGCTGTGGTGTAATTTCCAGCAGGGCAGAGTGTGCAGGTGAGGGAAGGTGGTGGAAAGCCTGTGGCAGTAGTGGCAGATGATGTCTGTCTGTCTGACTCTTCCACCAAGGCAGGAAATATGTCTGTTTTCCCCTTTACCATTGAGTACCTAGAATAGTGATTGGCTTCTAGGGGTGCTCAGTAAATATTTGTTGAATGAATGACTATAAAGTATAAAATCAAGCTTGGAGAGCCAAATTTCATCAAAAGGTCAGGAAGATAGATTTAAGCTATATCTGCTGTTATTTTATTCCCATACCCCACACATATTATAACATATATATAATATGCGTTCATATATATGTATGTGTGTATATTGCATATATGTACACAGACACATATATCATTTTTTCCTAATTGCTATATGGATAAAACAATTCTGATATGATTACTATCACATCTCATTGAAAAGGTGATTTTGCGTCTTTAAGGGAGGCAGGTGTTTGAATTCGTCTACACTGAGGGGGGTGCCCTTTGCTTTTTTTTTTTCTTGGGTAATCATAGGACCTCATAGTGGTTGGTGCTTCTAGGGGCCAGAGAAATCTCATTGGTAAGCATTTATGGGTGTGTGGTGAAGAAACTGAGTTATTTTTTCTGCTGTAAGGAAAGAGGCAAGATTCAGCTGATGCACCTTCTCCTCCTCCCAATCTCAGCCCTTCCTCTTGTTTCCGATTTCTTGCTGCACATTCTGCATCCCTATTCAGCATCAGAGGAGGCCGGGAGCTTTCCCTGTGCTTTTCCATGGAGGTGGCCTTAGTGAGCCTTCCCTTCCTCTGACTCTAGCCCCATTTCCTGCCAGACCGTACTTCTCTAGTCCATTCAGAACTTCTCACTGCAGAGTGAACAATCCTATTGGGAAAGGAAAAACTAAAGAAAAAAAATTCCATGCACAGATAGCATACACTGAAACAAAAGGAATAGTGCAACGGAAACATATGAGCAGTAAAATAACTGAGATAAAATTTATGGTTTATTGAGAAACTGTTAGGACTGTAGCTATGTCTAGCAATGTTGAATTTCAACAGCTAATCTGACATTGACTTTGGGATTTGAAAGCCATCAGTTTTGAGGAACTGTGGAAACATTTCCTAATTTATCTTTCCACTGGTGCCCCGAATCCCTAGGATTTAGATTTTACAGATTGGGCTGATAGCTGGGTCTGAAATTAACATGAAGCTGTGGCGGAAGAGAAAGAAGCCTTTCTCCTGAGAGATTAAGGACTGATAAATAGGTGGTAAACTATTGTACATCCAGTCAATCCCTTATTATTCCTTATTATCCCAAATAAATGAGTGGATTCCCTGATTTGTGGGTCATCTACCACCGGGGAGCTCCTCTCCTTCCTGGGGCTGGACTAAGAGAGTGGAATTGGGGCCCTGATGAGGCATCTGTAAGGGAAGGGGTGAGGAAAGAGTGAGAAAACGAGATAGGGACTGTCTCAGATTGCATTTTAAGGCCAATGAGAAGTCCCTTGAGAGGCAACACCTATAGGAAGTAGTTAAGAGCAGGGATCTTGGAGCCAGACAACCTGCATTCAAATCCTGGCTCTGCCATTTCCTGGCTGCTGTCTGATGTTGGGTAAGTAACTCCCTACCTCCGTTTCCTCATCTAAAATAGGGATAATAATTTTTACCTCATAGGGTTGCTATGAAATTTGGCTCATTAATATGCATGTAAAATGATTAGAAGTAAAAATCTGACCTGTAGTAAACATGAATGTGTTAGCTATTTGTGGTATTTTTTGTTGGACTACCCATTGCTTTTGTGTCACCACGACTTCCCTTCCTATAGCTAGCTAGTTTAGAGCTGGTTACGACAGGGAAGACTCCTTCCACAACTTTTTGGAATTAGTAGAGCCATCCTTACAAATCTTAAGGAGCAGAAAAAACCCTTCTAGTATGAGACGGAAGAGCCTAAGAAGAGAATCCAGCAGCTCAGAAGTGAATGTCGGTCTTCTGAAGAAAAATCTGCAGTCAGATAGCTCCTCTTTTCCATGAGAGAAGGGATGCTTGCAAGGGACATCTGAAACAGGGTTAAAGATGGACAAAGACTTGGGACTGATGAATTATTATTAAAGTGTTAACTTTGAGCCTACATAGTTCCATGTCCACTAATTCCTAAGAAAACAGTAGCCCAAAACATCAGAACCCAGGTAGGTTACTTGTGATATGTGTTTTGAAATTAGGCTCTGAAACACCTCTTCGGAGCTTTGGGTGCTCTGGCTTCAAGGGTAATACTAATACAGTTAAATTTGGGGTAGGGGCCTATGAGATTTGTTCCCTTCCTTTATCAGTCTTTAGCATTTGCCACAAAAGGTAGGGAGAACTTGGTAGTATTAGCTCATGGTGTAAGTTCCAGGGCAAAACCCTGGCTAAACATACAACAAGTTTTTCCTAATCCTTTCATAGTCCTCTGTGTCGAGTTTAAGAGACTCACCCCCCTCCTCCAACCTTTGCTCTTATGCAGGACCACAATGGCTGAATCAGCCCCTCCCGGTTGCCGCTCAGACCTGGACTCCAGGTACTACAGACTTTGTGACACAACTGAAGGCTGGGGCATCGTCCTAGAAACGGTGGCCGCAGTGGGGGCTGTGACCTCAGTGGCCTTCATGCTCGCTCTCCTGATCCGCATCTTCAAGGTGCAGGACTCCAGCAGGCGGGAAATGCTCCCTACCCAGTTTCTCTTCCTCCTGGGTGTGCTGGGGGTCTTTGGCCTCACCTTCGCCTTCCTCATCAAACTGGACAGCGGCACGGGGCCCACACGCTTCTTCCTCTTTGGTGTCCTCTTTTCCATCTGCTTCTCTTGCCTCCTGGCTCACGCTTTCCAATTGACGAAGCTGGTCCGCGGGCAGAAGCCCCTCTCCTGGCTGGTGATCCTGGGCATTGCTCTGGGCTTCAGCCTGGTACAGGATGTCATTGCTGTTGAATATGTTGTGCTCACCATGAACAGGACCAATGTGGACATTTTTTCTGAGCTCTCTGCTCCTCGTCGCAATGAAGACTTTGTCATGCTGCTCATCTACGTCCTCTTCTTGATGGTGCTGACCTTTTTCATGTCCTCTTTCACCTTCTGTGGATCCTTCACTGGCTGGAAGAGACATGGGGCCCACATCTTCCTCACCGTGCTCCTCTCTGGGGCCCTCTGGGTGGTATGGATCACCCTGCTCTTTGTTCCCACCCCTGGTGCCCAGTGGGATGACACCATCCTCAGCACAGCCTTGGTGGCCAATGGCTGGGTTTTCGTGTTCGTTTATGTTGTCCCTGAGTTTCAGCTGCTCACTAAGCAACAAGACCCCATGGATTATCCTGTTGAGGATGCTTTCTGTAAACCTCAACTCATGAAGAAGAGCTATGGTGTGGAGAACAGAGCCTTCTCTCAAGAGGACATCACTCATGGTATGCAGCGTGGCGAGGTGGAGAATCCCTTGGAGAAAGATGGTGGGGAGGTGGGGGGTGGAATCACAGGATACCATAAGGAACATGCAAGGTTTTCCAGATTATACATACCCCTGATAGAACAGATAAGTTTCCCAAGGCTCAGATCTTGCTTAAAATCTTCCAGCCAGTTAGAGATAAGTAGAACCAGAAGCTGGCCTCTGGTGTCTTAATCTAGTGCTTTCTGCACAACACCATGTAGGTTTCTCTGAATCAAAATAAGATGGAACAAAGGCACGGAGGAGGAATGATTAGAAAAATTACTTGTGATAAGTAGGTGAGATTGTGTTCTTTCTAAAAGATAACTAGGTACTTCTTCTAGAAAGTGGAGCCTCTGTGGCTGTGAGTGCTACGCTCTCCTACAGTGATCACAGAGCAGAGAAGGGAGAAAGCCTTTATCACAGAGCCACGTTTTATTGTGGGTCTCTGGGCCCAGGGGAGGGAAGAGATCATAGTTGACAAGGTGATGCTCTTGCCTGGAGTTGTGTGAAGCTGAGCATTCTGTTGTTGTTCTCATAAGAAAAGGAGGCTGACCTGATAGTCAGAAACTGCCCTTGCCCATAGGGGTCTATTCATGGGTGTCTGGGGTTTACGTCGATCTTTGAGTCTCATCACAGGAGGTGGGTGGTTTGGGGACAGGAGTGAGGGACCTCCAAGGCCAGTTTCTTGGCCCCATAAGTGGAGATCTTTGAGGTGCAAAACTTCCTAGTGCTTCTCACTGCAGCTCTGGTTTCTTTCCTGGGCACTCGGAAGTCTGAAGGGGGAAGGTCAAGGGGTATATTTTACCTGCCTACCCCCTCCTGTCCTTTCCCAGGGCTTCACTCTGTCACCTCACCCCTGGACTCCCTGTTGTCGTTCCCTAACCATGCTTCCTTCCTGCTGTTTGTTTTGTGGGCCCTGTTGTGCTGTCGTGGCCACTCAGCAGCTCACAGTCCTCACTGGCTCCCCATGGTCCGTCCCGTCGCACCAGATCCTTACTGAGGCCTTCTGCAGGCGGAATTGACAGCCATGGAGGCTCCGCTCTCCGTCCAAACAAACCCCGTCACTGCACTTCCCTGCCTCTGGGTCTGGGCTCCAGGTGCTTCTGTCCTCTGCCTGGCATGGCTGTCTTCCCTCTCCTTGTCCTTTTCCAGAGTCAGGCCTTCCCCGTCCTCCCTCAGCGATCACTCTGCCTGTGCATCTGCAGGACTTTGAAATGCTTGCATCAGAGTCTGTCTCATCCGATCGTTATTTGTGAACCTGTCACATATTCCTTACTCTCCAGGGTCAGCTGCAGGGGAGGGATCATTCTGCTTAATCCTTGTGTTTTTCACACTGTCTTACATAGGGAAGATGTTTATGTATTTATTGAGTAAATTAGGCAGGTAAATTTGGTGGGAAATAAATGAATTGCTTTAAATTGCATTCATGATGATTGCATGTGTTTACCCTTCTGTTCCTGATTTTCCCAAAATACACAGAAAACAATTATTCATACATTCTGCCACTTCCCAAATACAAATAATACAAATATATATAATCTACATATTCCTTGTTGGGCAGTTAAGGAAGTAGGTAGCTCCCTAGTGAGATTCACTCTAGGTGCACTTCTGGCCAGATCTGTATCTGGAAAGATGATTTTACAATGGCTTTTCAAATATGCTTTTGAAGTGGTCCTAGGCTGAGGTGGGGCTCCAGTTAAGTTTTGAAGAGGTTTGAAAAGCATAGTGACCACATGCTGCTAAATATTCATTTATTCAGCTGATATTGTGCTTGCTCTGTACCTGGGCTTGGGCTGGGGACACAGTCTGTCCCTGTAGGAAACTTAGAGTCTACTGGGGAGACAGGCAATGAAACGGACAAGGCGTCACCCCGTGATACGAGAGATAATGGCTGAGCACAGGTGGAGCCCTCCTGCTCTAATTTCTCCCCTCCCCTCTGTTTCAGGTTCTGAAGAGACAGGGGACACACTCTATGTCCCTTATTCCACCCATTTTCAGCTGCAGGTAAATGATCTCTTTCTCCTTCATCAGTGGCAATCATAGCCCAGGAATGCATATCCTTTGGGAACAGATGCTGGCCCCTAGGTGGCCAACTTGAAAGGATGATGTGTCTTCTCATGGGGTTGGGGTGGCAGAGCACTGGGCACAGGGGGCACCTAGGGGGAGGGCATGGAGGAAGGGAGGGAGGCTAGATTCCTGCCCGTACTGCAGGCCTGTTGAGATGGCCTGGCCTGGGCTGAGTTTAACCATGTGGCTGCTTCACTTTCAGAATCGGACGTACCAGAAGGACTTCTCCATCCCACGGGCCCATGCTCAATCTAGCCCTTACAATGACTACGAAGGAAGGAAAGAGGGCAGTTAACTGTGTCCTGGAGAGTGGGATGGACACAGCAAGGCAGCAGACCCAGCCGGGAGTGCAGAGGGATGTGGGCTACCTTCTGAGTCTTCTAAGAAAACCGTACGAAACATTCCAGGAACAGCTGGCCTCCCTCCCAGCCTCAGCCACTATTCTTCCATACTGGACTTGTGGTGGGCTAATGGGACTCCAGTTCTTTGCAGCACTGTGGTATCTTTCCTTTGTCCCATGCTTAGTGTACTTGATGTGAGTGGGAGTCTCAGGCAACTCAGGGTGACACTCACTCTTCCTGTTGTTTTACACGTGACTCAGCGTCTGCTCATCTGACCGCATGCTGGCTCGCTCAGCTGTAGGAGCCAACTCACCTCACCGAAGGTGGGTTTTGTAAAGATTGCCTGGCCCAGAGCAGAGCTGCAAATCTGAGCAAAAACAGCAAGGCCTGTCTCTCAGCCCCATCTACGGCCCCTGAATCTACACTGGAAGCCAACTTCCTGGCACCATCCCCCACCTCTGCCTTCTTGCTTGGGTAGGAGAGGCTAAAGGTCACCCTGCCTCACACGCGGCCTCTGCAGATCTCCTCTGTGATGCCAGGTCACCCCTCTCTTCTGGCACTGTGCCCAAACTTGCTTCAATCCCCAGACCCCAACTCCCCACACGCTTTGCCTGGAGTTGTTCTTCTGGAGCTGTCTAGCCAGGAGAATTTGTGCACTGTTATAATAAATCCCTGCCCCGATTGTTCTCCCATCCCCTTGCGCTCAGCCTCGGTCAATATTGACAGTGTGTTCACCACCTGCATTCTGTGACTGGGCGCTGTCCACTAAACGGGGAGTGCTGGTTGTGTAATAGGTTACTCACCTGGCTATACAACAAAGGTGTGGTGGCAACTCTGTCACTGTGGCAGCAGTGATACAAGTGGCAGGCATCAGACACTGGGGGAGATGCAGGTGCCCCGTTGAGCTTCACAGTGGGGCTGGCCACACTAGGTTCTGTTTTACTGGGTTTGTACTTGGCCCTTGTCTATGTGTGTCTCTTTCTCTTCGTTACGTCTCAGACAAGTGTGTTTTCTCCAATTTTTGAGGCTGTCAGAGGTGACAGAGCCAGGATCATCTTGGTCCTGAGGTTTTGCTCCCGGAAGGCAGAGGAGTGGCAACCTTGGAATGGGGTTTGGCAGCCCCAGAAAGACAGGGAGGAGACCTCAAAGCCAGTTTCATGAGTCCCCCAAGGTTTAATCATAGGAGAGGGCAGATCCAGATCCTTTATTTGATAGAATTGGTTCACAATATCTTTCGGCAAAGACACGGTACCTAACAATTATTTACTTAATCCAATAAACAGCTCTGTGGGGCAGAGCGATGGGGAAATCTCTCTTTGGTGAAAGAAAAAAAAAATTCCCATACAAAGAAACTGACATTTAGAAATTTGTAGCTAAATATGGGAGTTACCTCTTAAGAGCCTGACGCTCTGCTTTTCATCAAAAGGAAAAACAGGGAGGAACAAAGGTTGAGGTGAGAGTGGAGGTGGCTAAGGACGTGCTGGATGAGGGACAGTTATGTCCCACAAAGGTTTGTCTGATAGGCTTTGCTAACATTAGCCTAGGTTTGTGTGGAATACGGGGAATGACAAATAATGATATGGATCCTTCTAGACTATTCTAGTCTTTCTCAAGAGGCCATGGCTCAATGAGGTTTGTCGTGAGGAGAAAGCACTGTGGTTCCACGTATGTCTGTCATGGCGTAGGTGCTCAAGAAACACACGTCCCCGTCCCTCTTTTCTTTCCTCTTCTGGTCTTCGTCTTGTCAACCAAGCAAAGGGGGACGGGTGAAAGCTAAAACCACAGAATGCTCTGGATCTGCTTTTTTTATTCGGGAAAAGAATCTGCCAGCCTTTGTGTCCCCATGGCTGCCTTCCTCCAGTCAACCCCTTCAAAAACTGGAGAGGACCTGAAAATGGTACCTATTTTGAGATATTTGTTTCTCTTCTAAGAAACAAGGTGGTCTCCAGAGTTTGTACAAGGAGGCCATCCCCCCACCGAATTCTTGCTCTTGCCAGGTGGCAGAATAATGCTCCTCACCTGAGCAGCACCTGTCACCCCCCACGGCTGCTGCCTTATCTTCAGTTCTCATGGCTTTTGCATATAAATGAGTTTTTCGTTAAAATAGGAACATCTTAGGGGCTGGAGATTTTGGCATCTGAGGATCATTACATTGGAGAAGAGGATTCCAAAGCCCTCCCTATGTCTCCATCTCCATCTGGGCTGAGATAATTCTATGCAAATGTAGCCCAGTCTGGTCGTTGGCCGTTCCAGTTGATTGACGGCTGGGAACCAAAGTGGCACCTCCTTTGCACTAAACGGGTGATGATGAAGTAAAGCTCAGCAACCGTCCTGTCCTCTTTCGTGGTCAGATGAGAAATAAACTGTGTCTCGGCTGCTCACGTCAAAGCTGCCATACCCCGTGGTTCCACTTGATGGCAGTGAAACCTCAGGCATGAAGCCTTGGGGACTACAGCTGCTTTTAGCAGAGCGGCAGATCCTCAGCAGGCCTGAGGCGAACGCTTGTGTTTAGGGGCACTTGCTTCCTCCCTCCCACCATCTTTAAAGAATTTGCTCATCCTCTCCTTTGGCAGCTTCTTTGCCCTTTGCCTTATTTTTGTGAAGCTCTCCAAGGTATTTCCAGGCCATTTGCATGCAATCTGGCATCTTTACAGATAATGGTCTCATACGCTGTTGTTATTAATGCCAGCTAGTATTTATGTGGTGAGAACATTGGCTTTTTGTCAAGAAAAGTGTGCCAAGACAAAGAGTACAGCCTGGGCCTGGAAATGCAGCAGTAAAACCCATTTTTTCCACATGCGTCCTGAGTTTCCTTCCTTTATTACTAGACTTACCATCACTGCTGAGAACTGAATTGTGCCCAGCTGATCTTTTCCTTCCTTGCACACTTCCCTCCATTGCTTCCAGGGTTTGCAGGTTTGCCGCTGTCCCAGCCCCAATCTGAAATGTGGGATTATTTCAAAATTGGAGGTGGCAGCTTCAGGAAAATTGTTCTCCTGTTGACTGCTAAAATCCAGATTCTAGGAAATCAGCCCCCAGTTCGTAGACTGCTCTCTTTGGAAATGTTATGGTCCAACCTTGTGGCCATTTTCCTGGAATTCCTCCCATCCAGGGCAGACAATGCTTTGTCCTTCTTAGCTTCAGGATGTCTCAAGGATGCAGCGGGTCTGTGTGGCAGCCTGACGCTGATTTTGGCAACCTCCAGATTTCTGCAACTTTCTCGATTCTTCAGAGTGGAACACTTTAGTGCCCCACATTTTGGAGTTTGAGAGGGTTACAAATCCTCTGGTGGTGCCTCTGCAGCCCTCATTTTGAAGAGGGGGAGGAAATTCAAGCCTAATGGAGTTAATATGACCAAGACCAGATTTCTGGTTCTGCGCTCTTTCTACTGCCAGTGCTTGTGTGATCAATTTTAGACACTTTTCCCAAAGGACTATTGGAGTAAAGAATCAAATAAAGTGACCATGGTCACCATATGTTTTAAGCATGTTTCTCATTTTCCTTTGCCTCTCTGATTACCTTTTCGTCCCCTGATTTCTCCTCTGGTCATCTTCTCTCCCCTCCTCATGTAAGCCATGAGGAGAGGGATTGGTGAGGATGGACGTTTTCTGGCTAACCCCACCACCTCCAGGCCAAATGAACATTTGCTTCCTGGGAAAGTAGGCTGTCAAAGGAGGAATTGCAAGGCAAGGCAGAGGCCTCCTTCATTTTCCCCAGCCAGTGTGATGATCCTTCAACTTCCCTGAGTCCTATGTATCATGCCCAGTACCTCTTCTTCCCTGCGTATGGAATCATAGCTCCCTTCGGGGAGCACGTGCCACCCCCTCATGATCCCTCACTCTCTGTGCAGCTTCTTTTTTTTTGTCTTTTTTTTACTGACTGGTAACGGGATCGCAACCCTCGGTGTTGTGCCCGCTCCGTGCTCAGCCAGTGAGTGGGAACTGGTCTCCACATGGGATCCGAACCCTCGGCGGGAGCGCCGCCACGCTCCCAAGCGGCGCACTCTCCAGTGCGCCACCAGGTCGGCCCTCTGTGCAGCTTCTTTTTTTTGTCTTTTTTTTACTGACTGGTAACGGGATCGCAACCCTCGGTGTTGTGCCCGCTCCGTGCTCAGCCAGTGAGTGGGAACTGGTCTCCACATGGGATCCGAACCCTCGGCGGGAGCGCCGCCACGCTCCCAAGCGGCGCACTCTCCAGTGCACCACCAGGTCGGCCCTCTGTGCAGCTTCTGAGAGCAGATGCTGAGCCAGTCGTTGGCAAACCCTTGCAAGTCACTGCTGTGTGTGCAATGACTTAGTCCAGCGTGTTTGCCCTGAGCCAAGTGTCTCAAGCACCAAACCCAATCATGATCTTCAACAGAAAAGAAGGTGAAACTTTAGTGGAATCTGGTTACCATGTGTGCAACACCAAACTGCGTGTGCCCAGCTGCTTCTAGTTCAGGCACCTTCCATACGATGACCTATCAGTCCTGCTGGATATGTATCAACTCAAGTCAAAAAACTCGGCTTACAAGCCCTGAGCTCTGGGACATGGTGAGGGGCTTGTACTACATCCTGTGATTATGTAAAGCAATGACCTCTCTCTAAGAAGGAATAATTCCAGATCAACTTTTTTTTTTGCCTCAAGGAACTGAAATAGAAAAAGCGTGCATTGATTTTAGCATAATATCTTTGTGAATAAGACGGAAAAAGGCAAGGATAATCACAATAGAATTAGGTGGAGTCATAAGTCAAACATTCAAGAAGAGATCCTTTATTAGACAGAGGTCACTAGTGGTTTGCCATAGGGCTCTATCTTTGGATCTGGTTGGATAATATTTTAATTGATTACTTGGATAAAAATAAAGCATATTTATCAAATTCTGCACATGACACAAAATTAGGAAAGACCAAATAATAAAACCAGAATATAAATGTGTCACAATAGGCTGGAATGAAGATCTTAAAGCAAGAAT